GTCTAAAATACACCTTTAGCCAATTGTTAGACTATTTTCACTACTCAGTTGTAAGAGAATTTAGGTTTAGGTTGACTGAATACAAACTTTTTACAGCAGGGTTGTCATTTGACTGTCTGCTGTATTAAATTTCATACTTATTTTCCTAAGCACACGCATACCGTGTGCTCACATAATGTAGGATCACATTTATCTTGGAAAATTACAGCCACCTGAACAAGAGAGTAGCTAGCCTATTGGAACAGATTTTCAACCTTTATTTTGGTTCACAAAAGGCAGCCAAGCAACAAGCTTTGAAAGCAAATGTGTTGTCAAAAGTACTGTGAAGTGGAATGTAGAAAACTGAAAGTAAAAAAACAACCTATCTACACTTCATAATGCCCTTGGGGATGGCCCTTGGGGTCTGGGGCTGGGTGCTTGGGTGTGTGCCGGCTCGGGCTGGTGGCTGCCTGTTGGGGCTTGGGTCCTCTGGCCCTGTGTGCTCTCGGCTTGGGGGGGCTCTGGGGGCCGGGTCCTCTGGGCCCATGCCTGTGCCTACCCTAGCGCAGCGGGTGCCGGCGGGGGCCTGCGTGCTCGTCGTTGTGGGCCGCTGTGGGGCTGCTGTGTGTGGTCGCTGGTGGGGTTCTCCTGGGTCTCCCCTATGGTTTGACCTGGGGGTGGGTGTGCGGCTCTCCTCGCGTGGGTGTACCCGGGGGCCCGGTGCTTGGGGTCTCTCTTGGGGTCTTTGGCTCTGGCCTCCCATTATGTCTGCCTCGTGCCTTGGGGGTCGGCTCTGGGACTCCCCCACAGTCACTATTATACATTCCGTTGGAGAAATCCTGTAAATTTATGCTCGCTCACAACCGCACGCAGACAGGTGTTCAGATCCGAGGGGTTCTGAATGATCACCAGGTATATATAGGTGGGTGTTTATTTGTGTAAATGTATATACGCTTTTGCTAAGTTTTGTTACCTTAATTTTTTTTGTTTTGTTTTGTAGATGTGCAGAAGGTTGTTGGACGTGTTGTATTGTAGTATATCTCGCATGTTTTCGATTCTTTCTTTCATTTTTTTTCCCATTGCATTGGAACTCTCTTTCCTTTTTTCCCTTTCTTTCTTCTTTTTTTTACTTGTCTGTCAGTTATAATTGAAATAGGCCCAACATTATTTCTAATAAAGTTTCATTTATCAAGTGGAGCATTATGGCGAAAGCTAAAATGCTCCACTTGTGAAAGCAAATCTGTCGGGCCATACCATGACACTCAGATTATAATTCTGAGTGCCACACAGCCTGACAGGACAAGTTAAAAATAATAATAATAATAAAAAATTAATGGGAGGGTCTAAGAGCTAAAGTAATTCTAACATTTCCAAATACAATAAGTAAATTGTGGGTTGAGGTTCCAAATTAACTTAAGCACATTCCAACTGCCTAAAGTGAAAACAAAAAATTTATCAAATTTATCCATCCATCCATCCATTTTCTTCCGCCTATCCGGGGTCGGGTCGCGGGGACAGCAGCTTCAGAAGGGAGGCCCAGACCTCCCTCTCCCCAGCCACTTCTTCCAGCTCCTCCGGGGGAACTCCAAGGCGTTCGCAGGCCAGCCGAGAGACATAGTCCTGGGTCTTCCTCGGGGCCTCCTCCCGGTGGGACGTGCCCGGAATACCTCACC